CGTGCGTGCGTGCGTGCGTGCGGCGTGCGTGCGTGTGTGTTATATATAAGAGTGTTCAAAAAAAAATGGCCAAGCGGTATGCAGGTAGAGCAGACTAAACTGAGTCGAAAAGTCTTGTACCATTTTGCGATTTTCGCAATAGTTAACGAGTTATTAATGAAATGACGTTATTTATGAAAATTGCAAATGCGCGATGAGATAGGACCGTCCAGTGAGACCCGCGTTCGCCGTCGCTAGGCACGCGTGGAATTGTTGATTGCACCGAATTTCAGTTTCTGCATGTACATTGCCTGCACGTAAGACTTTAATACAATTATTGCAGTTTACTACAATTCATGCAGTTATCATTTACATACAATATAAGAATTATATTTTAATTAAATTTTAATTATATTTTAATTATAAATTTTAATTATATTTTAATTATAATTGTTATACTATATATATATTTGTATTATTATTCTCCTATTATAAAAATTTTTTATTTAACAATTTTTTAATAAGATATTTTTTATTTTGCGCGACTTTGCACTTTTTTAATATAACTTCAAGCTTTGAAATGAATTATTTTCACAGAAAAAAATGTTTAGTACAAAAAATATTACAATATATAAATTCTACAATATATAAATTTATTACGAACTTTATATTTTGTAAAATTATTTAATATTTCATATAAAAAAAAATAAAGAGAGGATTACCTTTCAACAAAAATACTTTTATGCTTCGTTGGTTCACGATGATCGATCAATGCTAAGACAGAGATCACTGATCCGCATTAGTCTAGAGAAATTTAGAGAGTCTATTGGTTGAGTGCCACTGTTTTGTCCTGATCTGATCATTTGTCGTAAACATCCAAGAAGTTAGAGAATAGGCCTACTGAACTTCTTAGTCTCGGTCCATAAGTGTCGGTCCACAATAAATATTTTAATCTTTAAGTCGTAAAAAATTGATCAATCATAGTCGATTATTCTTTTCATATTCGATTATAATTGGTCAATTTCTTACATCTTAAAGCTTAAATCACTTATTGTGGACCGACACTAATAGGTATTTAATCTTTAAGCCGTAAGAAATTGACCAATCATAGTCGATTATTTTTCTCATATTCGATTATTAATAGGTCAATTTCTTACTTCTTAAAGTTTAAATCGCCTATTGTGGACCGACATTTATTCATTCATCTTTTTTCTTTTTCTCTCTGATGTCGAGAGAAAAAAAGAAAAGATAAACGGTACAAGAGGTTCGATAAAATAACAGACTTTTTATATCTCTACGTATCTAAGCTCTATGATTGGTCATTATATTGATCGATTCGCATTGCTTGCACTTTTTTTATATTCAAGTTTCTTATTCTTTTTTCTCCATCGTCCATATATATATATATATATATATCTATTCCGCTTTAGGTACTGAAAATGTTAGGGAGTGCAAGCAACGCGAACAAACCTATTCCTGTCGTATATTTCGTCCTTGTAGCCACTTAAGAGTTCAACTTTAAAATCGCGCCTATGCGCTTGTTATGCAGTGGCGGTCGAAGGCGCAGATGAGGAGTTTTCTGCCTTATTCCTTGTCATATATCGTATTGTGGTTATACTGTATATGCCTTGGTTGTATGTACCGTAGTAGCCTTTCGAGCAAGAACACAGTACGACTATATCGTGTCTCGTCGGTGAAAGTCCCAAGGTAGGTAGTCGAAACAATGGGGCGAATCTTTCTCGTTTCATCATGAATCCGCCCAGCTTTACGACTTAAATTGTTTTGTGCTCCGTCGAGATTCACATCTCGCAAAATTCTCATAACGAAGCTGATATATTCCGAGATTGATGTTATGTATTACATTGGTGTTATGTATTACGTACGCTGGCCATTTTAATGGATAATTTCATTAAAAAAATGGGGAAGAAAAAAGGGGATTGGAATGCGAACAATGAATTTATAACGCGCGATGTTATGAAGCTGATCGACTCGTGCAATCAACATCTGTAACACGATAAACGTGGTTATTTTTTTTTTTACGGCTTTTTTTCAGCGGTATTGGAATTGCATCGTGAAGTCGCGCGACAATGTTGCGCCGTTGCATTTTTCCTGAGAAACATCGCGCACCAATTGCAATGTCCGATAGTTATTTATGCTGCAAAGTTATATTAAGATATATTTTTTTTCGAGCCAGTTTCTAGACATATGATGATTTTTCTAGACTAAATCTTAAGAATCTACTTAAATTCAATTTTGATTTTACATAAAATTATGCTAAAGACGTTTTCCTGAAATATCAAAGCTGTGACATTAAAAGCTTTTTGAGATGTGATTCGTTGCAGTTAATTTTAATTAATGTCTAAATTATTCGTATAGTTGGGACTGGGATTTCTTTTATCATTACATTTCTTGGAATATTATATTTTTTAGTGGATATTTCTTGAATAAAAATAATGTATAAAATGTATTTGTATTATGTTTGGCTTGAAATTAATTTAATTATATCTTATAAAATAAACAGTAGTATTATCATTGAATTTATAATATATTTTTGTACACTATATTTCCTATTTTTTAATTCTCTTCTGATAAATAGAAATTCAGACAGTTTTGGATAATATAAATAATTTCTTTTCCCAATTTTTTATAATTTAATTATATATTCTCAATATTTTTTAAATATAACTTTTGTTGTATTTGAGCAATGCAATTTATTATTTATGTATAGATATTAATTTATACATTATATTTTAGGTAAATCTTGGAATGTTAATGTAATTGCAGATCTTTTTGAAGGAATGCTTGTTGGGCAAATAAAAGGAATATATCTAAGATCTTAAAAATAAAATGGACTTTGACAGTAAAATATATGATACTAGTAATAATTCTAAGATAAAACTTCCTGATGTTAAGGATCTTAACAATGAGGAGCATGGAAAAATACAGTCTTTAGAAGGTCCAAAGAATGTCGATAACTCTAGTGTTATATCTGAAGGCAGTGTGATCTTAAAAAATACCAATCATATGGAATCTAATAACGATTTCGCATGTGGAATTATCCAGAGCGAGCGAGCGGATGAATCTATGGACCTTTCTATAGAGGATGAAATTAAGATAATAAATGATAAATGTGACAAAACTAATGATATGTTGAAAAAGACCGTGTGTACTACCATTAATTCGGTCGATGTATTAGAAGCAACTACTTCACAGGATAATAGTCCATCTTCTTATTCTAACGAGACAAATGCATCACATGTAGATCAGAATAAAGTCAAAAGAAGTATCTCAAAAGGTCAAGTACATGTCGGTAGTGGTACATCGTTAGCCTTAGAAAGATCGGACGATAGTTCAGACGAAGATTCAAGTAAGCGTCAGAAATTGAATAAAAGCGCTAGTGCTGGAAATGTAAGTGATGATGCAGTGATGTTTCAAAGAAACAAATCAAAAACAAAACAGCGGAACTATCGTAAGAGGCGAAATATAATAAGCGATAATGAGGATAGTTCTACAAATACCTTGTCAAATGATGCAACGAGGGAAGCTTCTGTAACTGACGCGAACGAAGGTAATCAATTATTTTGTTAGAAATGCTTAAAATTTTGTTAATGACATAAAATGGATTATTTCATTCGTTATTTATAATTTTGTAATATTTTACCTCAGAAGTCTTATATAGTAGATGAGAAGGCTAAATATATAATAACAACCATTGGATAATTATTAAATAATTATGATTAAGACGTTTATTATTTGAAAAAAATTTGGAAAAGTCTAGAAATTTCAAGGAACTTTTTTTTCCCTTGAAAATCAAATTTCAGAAAATTTCATCGAAAGTCTTTGAAATTGGAATGTTACTTTTAAATTTAAATTTTATTTTTTTTCCTGAAAAAAATTAAATTTACGTTTGTCTCTTTCTAAATTGTTTAATCATTTTTTTCTTGATGAAATGTTCAGTTAGTAATAAATATGGCATACATTTACGAGCATTCTTGTAACTCGTGAGTTAAAAAAAAAAAATCAGGGTCATAATAAAAGATAATACTCAGCAGAAAAGAATATAAAATTCTGATAATATATCGATATTCATAATCTGCTAATATAATACAATTCTTATTTCAAGATTATTTTATTAATATTTTAAAATGCTAATATGATTCTATAATTTATTCACATTATTATTCACATATATTAAATTAATTTATTGTTATCATTTTTATTTACTATTTACTATTACTTTCTGAATTTAATATTTGAAACTTAAATAGTGTGTGATTAAAAAAATATTAGAAAGTACTTAAAATAAATTTATTTTAAAGTTATATTAAGAAATTCCCTAATCTTACCTAAAAATTTGAGTAAAATATCTGGAGAAATCTGAAATTCTTAGAAAATATTTTTACACAAGATTTGAATAAACGTTCTGATGATATTAATAATTTTATGTTTAAAAATTATGTATATAAAAATAATAGTTGTAATTTCAGGAAATGTTGCATCTGCCAGTACTAGAAATGAATCGTTTACTCAGAATGAATCATCAAGCAGAAATTCAAGGAGTCGTAGAGCAGGATCAGAAACATCTAATGATAGATTTGGTCGACACAAAGACGAGAGAGGTATTTTATATTTTGCAATTTTTTTTTTGAGATGTAGAATTTTATATTTTGAATAAGGTAACTCAAATGAATGGAGAGCTGCTAACGAGGACGAATGGGATGAGGAAGAAGAAGATGAAGACGAGGATGAAGAAATACCTCATTGTTTAAAAATAGAGAAACCGCCCCCTAATTGGTGTATTGTACCAGAAGTGATAAATCGCCAAATAGGTAACAATCCATTATTCCAAAGGAGATTCTATGGTTCTTTACATGCGGTAGAGCGGCTCGAACTTATGTACAATCTTCATGAGCATCAGGTAAATTATTATATAAATACTATATATTAAGCTATATAAATTTATACATATTGATATATATATATATATATATATATATATATATATAACATATATATATA